TGATCTCATTTAGGTTCCTGCTCTGGCAGGGGGATTGGACTGGATGATCTTTCGAGGTCCCTTCCAATCCCCAACATTCTCTGATTCTGTGACAGGTGGAACCCATTTGCTAAGCAAGTGTGAAAAGCATCAACCCTTATAGGAGAAAACTAAAAATTCACAAAGTGCTGGCAGAAGAGTTACTTTTTTAACTCAGGCAGCAACAGATCGTGCTTTCTCACTTCAGGTCACAGTTTCCAACTGTGCTGATGACACAAGTAGAGATCAGCATCTAGAAAGCACTTCACATTTGAGCTCAATTTATGCACAAGCATTTTGTGAAGATGACTGTTATAGATCAAAAGGATAAGAGAGAAATTTTTATTTAGCTTCTCTAGCTTCAGGTACTAACTGGAAAAAAGCAGGACAGAGCCTTTCTTTGTGAAGAAATTACATGCATCAAGTATTTAGATCCAAATTACTACCTCTAGCTGCCATGAGCAGAGGTGTAAGAAGGCAGAAAGACACTAAATTGTACCTATTATGATACAATAAATAGTCTCTCCACAAGTTTAAAGTACTATAGATAAAGAGAAGTCTTCAGATAGTGGTCCCCAAACTATCAGCCAAATGCAACAGTACTAAGCAATAAATCCAGTGTAGGCATTATGTTATTCCTTCTGTCAACTAGTAACCCAATGACAGCAGCTTCCTGTGATAACAGGCTAAAAACTGGAGACTTTACCAACAACACACTGCTCTCAAGTTAAAGGTTGTGGATCACTGGTTTAGTGCAATGATCAGAAAGAGACTTTTGAGGGCTGGAGCAGCTCTCCTGTGAGGACAGGCTGAGAGAGTTGGGGCTGTTCAGCCTGGAGAAGAGAAGGCTCCGGGGAGATCTTATAGCGGCCTCCCAGTACCTGAAGGGGCTCCAGGAAGGCTGGGGAGGGACTTTTCATAAGGGCAGTTAATGAAAGAACAAAGGGAAATGGCTCCAAACTGGAAGAAGGCAGGTTTAGATTAGATATTATGAAGAAGTTTTTCACTGTGAGGGTGGTCAGACACTGGAACAGGTTGCCCAAGGAAGTTGTGGCTGCTCCTCCCTGGAAGTGTTCAAGGCCAGGTTGGATGAGGCTTTGAGCAACCTGGTCTAGTGGAAGGTGTCCCTGCTGCTGGCAGGGGCGTTGGAACTGGATGAGCTTTAAGGTCCCTTCCAACCCAAACTACTGTATGATTCTACAATTTAAGGAACCTTTCAAGAACCTCCCATTTGGAGCATATGATATTTTCCTCATTCAAACTCTTCTGCAAAAGTTACATTAGGGAAAAAAAATATCTAAGGAAGTCAGGAACCACATTTGTCTCAAGAATTAGAAGTCATTTTTAATGTAAATGAGAACATTTTCAATAATGTTGCTATAGTGTATAAGTCTTTCAAGGTGGTTATGCTACAAAAGCCCAACACTAAGTGTGCCACTGTCAGAAAGACATCATGTCTATCCCTTTGGGAAACAAACCATCTTTGGGCTAGTGCTTATTTATCACACTCAGCCCCATTTGGCATGTTAAAACATGAAAGCACTGAAAAATCCTGTAACTGCAATTTGCCAAGGGTCAAACTGTGCCTTTAACTATATTTATGCCACTTCACTGGAATATCTCAGTGGGATCACTTGGGTAGGATACTAAAAACCAAACTGTTCCTCTGCATAGTGGAAAATTATTTTGCCTTGTATATTATAATATAAAAATAACCAGAAAGTATTTTATTTACAGTTAACATACCTGAAAAACACAGGCTAGAAAAGGTAGGATAAAAGCTATCACATTTCCAATTCCTTCATGGTCCTCCTGTTTGGATTAAAAGAAGTGACAAACAACTACGTCAGCTGCCATTTTTAGCAAGTACTGCTTGATATTTTAGAACACTACATTTCATCAAGCACCCTTCATCCCAGTTTATGTTGATTGACTGTAACAGTGCTAAACAGCAAGATCAATATTACTGAACAAGATACCAAGAACTGAGGATTTTGTGACAATTCCTGCTAAATAAAATTGTGCCACCATATAATTGGGACACCTTTTTTTTTTTTTTTTTTTTTTTTAAAGCTGTTTACAATTTTACATTTGTTTAAAAAAAATTTCACACATCTAGAACAAAATACAAGAATGGAACGAAACAAATCCAGCCACCTTGGCAAGACTAAAAGATTTCTCCAAATTTTTATCTTCCTAGAAAAGAATAAAATGCAATGTGCTGTGATATACAACAAAACACAGGAGGTCTAGCAGGTGAGTAATCAATTGTACATTCCCTAGACAAACAAAACACTTCTTGTGGAAAGATGTAAGAGCTACTAAGAAGCAGAACAGCCACCCTTAATCTGGTTATTCAAATAACCTTCCTCCTTTGACTCATTTACAGGTTTCAATTCAATCAGGGTTACCTGAAATGAATACTCTGCCAGATGAACTCCTCGAATGAGATTCAAAGCTCCACACATGATGTTCAGAACAAGTGACAGAATCCCCAGGGGAGTCACACGCTGCATTCTGTAAGTAGGGACTTTAAAAACAAACAAACAAACAAAACAACAAAAAAAAACCCCAACAGACAGACATTAGTGAAAGTTTGCACTATTACTTTGAATCTTTTAATATAAAACAACTCAAATTAGTTTATGCAGATTTTAAACATTTTCAAAACCTTTCATGCTTGCTCTAAAGATCAATTATGAATAGAAAACCCTTTTTTTTTTTGCTGCATTACAATGTTCAGTTCTTCAGACATCTAGAAATCAGCAAGAGCTCTGGAGTATTTTTTTAAACAGATTAAGCAGTGGAATTTGTTCTTGAGCTACTTGGCATTCATGTCTTCTTTTAGAAGATATTTTTCAACTGTTTGTTACAGCAGATTAACACACTTAACACCTTTCACAGGTTAGTAGAAAAGCTAGAGGCTTTAAGAACCCAAAGGTCTGGGAATGAGTTTAGATTTCTGACACTCATAAAAGCAAGACAGCGATTCATCTCTTCCTCAGCTGATAATTATGTATTTCTTCCCACCGACAGTTTGAGGGATCAGTCTAGTACAGAGCAATTTCATTCCACCTGCCCAGTTTCCACACAGCATTTGGTGCCCTAACCAAGCAGTTGCCAGAACACAACTGTAGGAACCAAGAACTTTGTTGCTCTGCTGCTAGAATAGTTGTTGTGGTAGTTGGGAGGATGATTCTGCCCAGTCACAGCAGGGAAATGTCTGTCATGAACTGCTGCTCTTACCTCCAGGACTCTCAGATTGATAAAATATAATCAAAACTGGGGCCTAAACCACTTTAATTTAGGAATTAAACTGGTTACTATTGTTCTTGGCCTTTGAGGCACATTTTCCAACACATTCCAACTCCCTTTCTCCCAACCTACCCACATTTCACAGGGAGTGAATTATCTGTCTCCTTCCTTTCTCACCTTCTCCACTACTACCTACTACTTCACATCCACGCCCCCAAATATCATTTTATTGATATGATCTAATTGATCCATACCTAATTAAGGTCAAAGCAATTACTATAAATGTGTATTTAACTTTAGAATCTGCTGCTTCTAATTCAGCATTTTGGTTGCCCAAAAGATCACCTGGTTTTTTGTTTGGTTGTTGTTTTTTTCTCCCCTAGCTATACCAGCTAGCCCAACAATAGACACCACACCTAGATACTCACCTACGTTTCATCCCTGCCCTTGGATCACAAGTAGAACATTGTCAGCATAACAATAAGAAGCTGAGATACCAACATCCAGATCCTCTCCCGCACCAACACCCAGAAGATACAGGAGATAATGAAGGAGTGGTGTGGTTGACATGCCTGAGGGATGGGATTGCCATCCAGAGGGACCTGGACAGGCTGGAGAAGTGGACCTAGATGAAACTCATGAGGTTCAATAAGGCCAAGTGCACAAGCACCTGGGTCAGGACAATCCTCATTATCAATGAGGCTAGGAGATGATCTGCTGGAAAGCAGCCCTGAAGAAAAGGACTTGGATGTAGTAGTGGATGGAAAGCTGGATGTGAGCCACCAATGTGCATCTGCAGCCCAGAAGGCCAACCACATCCTGGGCTGCATCAAAAGAAGTGTGGTCAGCAGATCCAGAGAGGTGACTCTGCCCCTCTACTCTGCTCTGCTGAGACCTCAGCTGGAAAACTGCATTCAAGTTTTGGAGCCCTCAGCACAAGAAGGACATGGACCTGTTGGAATATGTCCAGAGGAGGCCACAAAAATGATCTGAGGGCTGGAGCAGCCCTGCTGTGAGGACAGGCTGAGAGAGTTGGGGCTGTTCAGCCTGGAGAAGAGAAGGCTCCGGGGAGACCTTCTAGCTGCCTTCCAGGACCTGAAAGGTGCCTCTAAGAAAGTTGGGGAGGAACTGTTCACAAGGGCAGGGAGCAATAGGACGAGGGGTGATGGTTTTAAACTAGACAAGGGCAGATTTAGGTTGGATATTAGGAAAAAGTTGTGCAATATGAGGGTGGTGGATCATTGGAACAGGTTGCCCAGAGAGGTAGAGGAGGCCCCATCCCTGGAGATATTCAAGGACAGCTTTGATGGGGCTCTGAGCAACCTGCTCTAGTGAAGATGTTGGACTAGATGACTCTTGAGGGTCCTTTCCAACCCAATACATTCAATGATTCTAATGAGCCCTCAAGAAGTCTCCCCAGCTCTCAGGATCTTCTGGATCCTGCCCAGATGTAGCCAGCTCCTGACTACTGCAGGTAAACTAAGCAACACATCAGCTATCAGCTCTGCCTTCGTTTCAGTGACAGATGAAACACCGTAACAGCTTAAATACTGCAGCACTGCACGGTTTAAGACAGGAAAACACTTGTGCCTTCTCCTTCAGGAGAGATTTTGATAGATGGATGTAAAAATGTTTGGTGCCAGACTAATATAGGGGATATAAAGTATCTTTTATAAATGTCTATGTAATTAATTTGTCTGGCATGCACTCATACATCCATAACTTCATCTCCAAATCAGCTGCAAAAGGAACTGTATTAATTCCATTTGATATATGTCACATTATGTAGCATTACTGGATATTATCAGTGCACCATGTACATTTACACACTCACCTAAAGAAATGGTGCAAGTAACTATCACTCAAAAGCAATTTTGCTTTTTTGTTATGCAGTGAAATTTCAGGTCCAAACAGCTCGATGAACAGAAGCTGTACCAGCATGTTTGTTCTTTCACTGACACGAGTATTCACTTCCCTATTATTTTGGATAAATTAAATAACGTTGCAGCTACAGATCTCTCTCTCCCTCATGGAAATTTCCCAATAAAGACACTGTTTCTTCTTCCTTCAGTTTCTAAGGGTCACTTCAGAGGCACACAGTGTATCTCAAATAAAGACAAATTATCAAACACACATGTCATTCATTATACAGGTTCTTGCAAACTATACATGTCAAGAGTTCACAGTCCCCAGGGAAGAATAATTCAAGTCTCAATATATTGCTTCTGCAGCACAGAATATTATGTAGAAGTTTGTCTGTTTGGGTTTTTTTTCCAGTAGGATAAGAACTGCATTCACAGATGCAGGGAGATTTCAATACCCAGTTGCTCAGGGTTCAGATTCTGTGAAAACTGATGTTTAAATTCTGTGCTGTGGAGCTTTATCTCTGCTATATCATTCTGAGGTTTAATTCACAAACTGAAATTGCACAGAAGAAGAGAGATGGGTGCTGCTAGGGAAAATTATTACACTTCCTTGTGGGAATTCAATCATATTTTTGTAAACAGAATTTCATACTAGAATTCCTTATTACATTAAATGAGAGAGGACAAGCACAATCTTGCACAAGTTAACAGTTAAATGTTAATTGAGTTTCAAACTGATTTGACTCTTCAAGTAGAAAAATTGTGCACTGTAGAGTACAAGAACTATACAGAAGATCTTCTGGAGATTGTGGATTATCCAGCACTCAGGAAAAATGCATCTGCAGGTTTGAACACGTACAGAATAATTCTGTGAAAACACCCTCACACAATGAAGAAATTGAAACTTCTGCCTATAAAAGATTTTCTGAGCAGAGGCCTCTGGCTGTTTAACCAGAGACTGACATGAATGTCTGTACCACGCTCCATTCTGGCTCTTCAAGGCAAAGCACAACAAGGGTTTGACAATGAGTCACAAACTCAAAGCTCCAGATAAAGACAGCACCCAGGAGTGAAAAATGAAATCAGATTCAAACATTTTAAAATAAAACGCAAGCACACAAAAGACAGATGTGAGACATCTTCAAAAAACACTTTAAAAAGGGTTCTGTGAAGGGCTCCCCGCGTGCCTACAAAAGACTAAGAACATTCATCAAGGCTGCATAATTTAACAGCAAGCTTTCTAGACAAATAGCACAAGTTGTTCTTTTACTTCATGGAGCCAGTTCTGATGTGAAAATTCTCCCTCTTCACATAAAGCTCTTTACACTTCACATTCCTCCTGTACATACATCCCACCGTTCTCCGGAAGGTTATTAGCTGTGCCCATATCAAGACACACGGCGAGGCTTTTATAACAGCTGAGGTTCTATAGATGTTGGTCAAGGATACAATGCCAGTGGCTTCACAGCAAGAATTGGGCTGGGTTTAATTAACAAAGGAAGGAACAAACAGAAGAATGAATGAAAGAAAAAAATAAAAATAAAAAGTTCTTATTCCCATATATACTAAAAAGGACAAAACTGCCCTGACTTTTCAGACTCCTTTCACACTTGTCCTGGTTTCTCTAGGATAGAGTTACTCTTCTTATTATTACTAGAACAGCTGTGTTTTAGTTTCATTGTGGGATTTGTTATGAGAAGAACATTGATAAAGTACTTATGTTATTAGCTGCTGCTGGAGCTCAAGGTCATGGTGTTTGGGTAGTTTGCAGGTGCAAAGGAGTGAGAGGGGAGATGTGTAGTAAATGGCAAACCCCAAATTGGCGTTTGGATGTGCCAGTGAGATATTTCAGATCATATCACGTCATGTGCAGTATATTAACCAGGGCTGACCAGAAATTGGGGGGATTCTCTCAGGGATTGCTCGGGCTCTCACTCTTCTGGGGTTTTGGTTTGGAGACTGTCTCTGCTCTGGGATCACTGGCTGGCACAGGCTGGACATCAGTCAGCGGGTGGTGAGCAACTGCACTGTGCATCACTCAGTTGTATATTCTATTCCTGTTGTTATAATTTTATTTTAATTAGCAAATTGTTTTTATCTCAACCCATGAGTCTCTTCACCCTTTTCTTTCCAATTCTCTCCCTAACTCCCGGGAGGGGCGGGGGGAGAGTGAGAGAGCAGGCTGTGTTTGGCTGCAAACCACCACAACACTAAAGTTAAGAACATCACAAGGGATGTGATCACACAGCTCCAAAGAAGATATGAACCAGCTACAACCACGTAAGGACACTGATGTTGTCATCAATCCACTGATTGATTGATCTTCACTACAGAATACAGACACAAATAATTCTGCTCTCCTGCAACCATGACACTTCAAGGTATGTTCAAGAAGTCTCCTGTATAGCATACATAATATAAATAACATTAATATGGGAACAAAAACCATCCACACAGCTAAACTTAGAGCAGCAAAGTGGGATTTCACTGGTAGGTAATGATGAGAGGAGAGAGCATTAAGCCAGGAAAGCTGACTCCAGCTGAGAGAAACACATGATCATAAACACAATCCTTAAAATAAAGGCAGAACAATCTGGAAGAGTATTTGGGTTAGACCAGAGAGAACAGCCAGAAATAAAAAAGCCAGATGGGAAGTAAAAGAAAGCAATTAAGAATACGAGGAAAATGAAAATGTATTTCTGATCTGCGGACACAGACTAGCTTGCAAATGTTGACTGGCACTGAAACTGTTCACACTAGTGCAAAGGATTTCGAAGCCCTGTCACGTCATGAAAATATTTAACCTACCTCCATGCACAGTTCTGAGGAGCACTCACAAATCTGATGGGCAAATAAAATGTTTTCAATTCTATTTTTTCTTCCTCCTGGTCACTGCCCCTTTATATTTTAACTTAAAATACCTATGTCAAATTAGATTCCAGCTCATCCATCAGAAACAATAAGACTGAGCAACTGGAACTTAATTTTATTAGTGTTTCATAAGCCAAGGACAACAAAAAAAAAAAAAGAGGAAATAAAAGCTCAAGGCATTCCAGCTGCATTTAAATCACCATGCTAATAGGATTAAAATAGGGACATGGTTTAGCAGTGAACCTTGCAGCGTTATATTTATGTTTGGACTCAATGATCTCAAAGGTCTTTTCCAACCTAAATGATTCTATTATGTCATTTTGTAGAGGAAGTAGGCAGGACTTTGACTGAAACACAAATAAGATACCAATTTTATAGCCAGTAGAGGAAAGTACTTCCAAAATCAGGTAAAATGTCACTTGGTCCTTGGTTGAACAGACCCACCCCCACCTCTCTCCACGGGACTTGGACAGAGACACAAGGTCTCCCCTCAGCCTCCTTTTCTCCAGGCTCAACACCCCCAGTTCCCTCAGCCACAAGGGAACTCAGCACACTTGTGCTCCAGACCCTTCCCCAGCTCCGTTGCCCTTCTCTGGACACGCTCCAGCACCTCCATGTCCTTCTT